ATAGGTGTCCGTCCACAGTTTCTCAACGTTCAACTCCAGTTGATTAGTTAAGTGCTGACGCTGTCGATATGGAGAACTCGTTGTAACATAATACGCAGCTATGATCCCTGCCTTAGCCCTTAAACAGGTGAATATTACTAGCAGTACGAATAGACAATGGAGAGCTCGACAGATGGGCGGAATCTTCCCTCTTCCACATTCAGGTGCTGCACGGTGCGGTGGATTTGGATGCAGCCTTGCACACGCAGCAGAGGCTGCGTGTTTCAGTCTTGATGAAAGGGAGAGGCCGCCGGCTTCCTTGCATCGAGTCACTGGGGAGGAGAAGCAGAAGGGTGTTCCTTTCTTTTCTTTTCTTTCTCCCTGTTCGCTGCCTTTGTAGGTGTGGTTCGTTCATTATTCGACCTCCCTCTCACTGTTACATCGAGTATCAGAATCTCAATCAGATCGGGCTTCGGCAGCAAAAAGCAAAGACGCTGGAAGAAAGAAAACTCGCAGTTCCCTTTGTAACTGGCCAATGTAACCAAGTCACAGAACTGAAAAGAAAAGAAAAAAAAAAAGACAGAACGACAGAGAAAAAGCAAAGCAGCAGGACTTCGTGCCAATGCAGGAGATCATGGCCGCCTTGTGATCCTATTCGCCGACTCGCCGCCTGTTTTGAGATCCCCTAGGGGGTGCGGGAGGGCTGGATATCAAGCGTTGACACGCAGATGGGCAGAGATACATCACGACCTGCAGGCCGGCAGACAGACCTTACCCCGATGAGTTGGAGGAGAAACCTGCCATGATTAACTAAGCCTGCTGTCCGCTCCCTCTGCATAGTTACATATAACGACATGGCTGACTGGCTAGTGTGAGATGCCGGGGACACCAGGGCGAAGTTGCCTGCAGCATGCAACTTGCCGTGCGGGCAAGGGCGCCGGTCATAGATGAAGATAACAAACGACCCGCCTGGCCGGAGCAGTTAATGAAGGGGATCCGAACCATATAGTTAGGTCGAGTTCGTCAGTCAGGAGTTCGTCAGCGCTAAGCAGACAAGTGTGTTATGCTAGTAGTGCAAGTATGTAGGTTCCGCCATTTACAGGCAATGCTAGCCTAAAAATAGGCAATGTAGTATAAAGTCCTGCTGCAGAGGGTGCGGAAAAACGCCCTGCCATCAGATCTAGGATGGACGGGATGGATTGACTAGCTAGTTGGCCTAGCTGGCCTAGCTGGTCGGCAACATGGGGTCGGCACGGCGAATTGACAGACTGGCAGGCCATATTTCTCCGTGCCAGCGAAGAAGAATAATACCGGATATTTGTTTAGCTACTTTACCATCAACCAGATGTGAGGTTAGCTCGTCAACTTAAGCTGGTTAGCTTACTGACCGGCTCGTCATAGTAGTAGTACTTAGTGCTGTAACATTTGGTTGGTTACTTACCTTGATTAAACTTGCAAAAAGTCGAAGGTGAATACGAATATTTGGCGTACTACTCCTATCCTGTTGCAGACTAGCCGGCAGGCAGCATGGCGTCAGCAGAGCAGAGATTTAATTTACTCGTCCGATTCAGCGATGGACATTGGATAGCTATCGTTCCCTAGTACGCCGAAGGGACGGTTGGGACGGTTGGAGGCGAGCAGACACGCAGGCGAGCCGTTAACCAGCAGCTGGCCGACTACAGCAATATGTATTGTTAAGACGAGAGAGGCTAGCCGGCAAGACTCGGGGATATGGAACAGACAGCGAGGACAGGCCCGCAACCGACGGGAGGAAGTTATTATTCCTCTTGCTGGCTCGCTTGCCTGGTTAGGTTGGGTAGTTTGGTTCAGTTGGAGATGCTACACTGTATGCGGAGAGCAGTCGAATCAGCCAGTTTGACCAAGGGCGAGGAGACGTTGGCAGATAAGAAGATTAGGTCTTCGCTGCGGGAGAAGATCGTGTTGATCTATATCTGAGCGCGGGCTGAGCATACGCAATATGTCGAGGAGATTCGAGAGGCAGAGGGAGATTATAGGACCGCCACGGTGGTTAAAGCTGGTCAACCGCTCTGTCTGCCTGTCTGACGTTATTTAGCTAGCTACCAGGAACGGGAATGCAGAGTTTACATAATACCCAGCTTGATTGCCGAAGGGGTGGGAGTCTCTCTCGTTCGTCCCTTTTGCTGCAGGGCAGGGCCAGGGGGGGGGGTTCGAGGGAGGCACAGGCTGAAGATATTATTATGGCTGGAGTCTCGAGCGTTGGCGAAGTTCCCGCCGTGGAGAAGGGGGGTTCAAGAGCGAGCAAGCAAACTCACATGCTGGGCAGGAATTAGATAATGCTTACGGGAGTGCCTGAGCAGTTGTCGTAGTCGTAGAAGCATAACCAACGGACGGATGGCCGGGCCAAAGGAAGAGTATCGGCAGCCTCCCTTGTCCCTGGGGGGTTCCACACCGGCGCTTCGACAATAATGATATGTAAGTATACTTCCATCATCGATGTGAGCAGATGAATCTGTCTTCCTCTCTCTCCCTTTTTTTTTCTTTTCTAGAAGCTTTACCATACCGGCGGATGATACGGGAGAGTGCAGCGAGCAAGGGGAGGGGAGGTTACTAGTTAATATCAAATCCCTGGCCTTCCGCGCAGGCAGAGTTGTACAGTCGTTACAGTTAGTTGGCCGTCCTCTTAGTCCGAGCAGCAGAGGCGAGTTTATCTTCCTTGCGGGATGCGGGATATTTCGAAAGAGACGGAGGATTCTTTTTTGTTTGCTGCGTGTGACGGGAAGGGTTTTTCCCCCCTTTGGTCTCGAGAGAGCCCAACGCTCAAACCCGGCGAGAGACAGGAGAGAGACAGTGTGTGGAGTGACTCGGGACGCGATGGACAAGCCGGAGCAGGCCAGGACCGCAACTAGTTCAAGTCGAACGGCTTCTGTGCGCCGAACGGGACGAGGGACAGCAGCAAGACATGGCCAAGTCAGGGCCGAGAACGATATGCAAGTGCAAAAAAGAATAATAAAAAGCAAAAGACAGAAAGGTAAAAAAGACACTTTCGTCTGGTGTGGCTCCCTCGGTGTGTAATCGCCGTGCATAAAAGGCAGAAGTCAACCAGATCTGTGTTGTATGGCTGTGTATGTACTTTGCTCGATGTATACACAGCTTGTATACGTAGGAGAAGCGGTCCGACGGCCCTGCGGCCCAGCTGCCCCCCGCGGACCATCGTCCAACTCGAGCTCCAACTGCTTTAAGTCTCAAGCGGAAGGTCGAAGTGAAGGAGTTTTTTTCGCTGTGGCGGCCAGTCGTGAATCGAATAAATATACTCCGTACAACACGGCCGGTATCCATGGTCTCCCAGGGGTGAGCGTCTAGCAGTCAAGTACCCAGGGGAACAACGAAAGGAGTCCTGGCTCCAAAGGATGGGCCATCTCAGACAGACGGTCAGAGATAAACAGCAGAGAGACATGATATTTAGTTGCTTATTGCCTATTTTCCCTTCGAATTCCGACTTGGCCAACGGAGCTCGACGGGATGCACCAACTAGTTGATGACGGCGTTGGCTTGACGATGGGCTGATGCTTTGCTTTCTTTTTCTCCCCTGGTCATGAGTTTTTTTTTTTACTCTGGAGATGTACTCCGTACATTCGGGTCGAGAGAGAAATGGTCGACATACAAACAATGTCTGCCTGTAAACATGCTTTTTCCTGCCCTCTCCGCGCTAAGCAGCGATCCTGATGTGCGTGTAAACCAGCTTATAACTAGCTAAGCTCTAGGAGACCATGATCAGCTATCTCTGCCAGTCCGTTTGTCGTCTGTTCAAGTGCGTGAACATCGCTGTCGATCCGATAGGCGAGGTTGACGGCTGCAGCCAGAAAGGGTCATCCCCATGGCTGAGATCAAAATGCATACATACATAGGTCGCATCGCAAAAAGCGTAATTAAGCAAGACAGCAACATCCTTCGTTGTCAGACATCCTCCAGGAAGGAAGATGACGGTGGTAACAATGTACACACGTGGTTTGAGCTCGTCGTATATGCATCTTTTACGTCCCCTGGAGGCGATATCCCGATTGTTCTGGATCTAGAGTTGACTATATCGGCCTGCCTGACTCGTCGAGGAGCCGTATGTGATAGTGATTGATGACGGAGGCGAGAGAGTGTGAACCGATGTGATAGAAGTGACTAGCGCCATCCCTTCACGCAGCCGACTGCCTGGCTGCCTTGTCGGGTGCGTGTATGGCAGTATATCATGCTCTGCAAAATCTCCCCAGATGGTGCATGTATGTATTTATGTATATGTATGTGTAGGTACTCTCTGCTGCTCCCCATGCCTGCATCGGCATCCGGGAAACGCCTTCCGCAGTGGTTGGCGCAGCAGGTAGCGATGGTGACGGGTTCATGGGGGTTCTGTCTCTGGCCTGGCTCGACTTGATTTGACCTGTCCTAGTCAGTCCTGTCTTGCCCTGGCCTGACCTGATATGATCCGATCTGACCTTGTTCCTACCATCCATCCATCCACCATCCATCATCCATCCCACAGAAAGGCGTAAGATGTCTTGTTGTGTTGGGCTGGGCTGCAAGACGTGCCGGGAGCATAAGCGAGCGTTCTCAGGTATCCCATCCCCATCTGCAAAATATGTATTAATATAATTATGCAGAGAGAGAGGGAGGGAGGGAGAGAGAGTAAACGACGTCATGACGGTCATCAAGCCAAGGATATTATATCATGATCAACTAGGCCATTGTTAAGTCCCGATATCAGACTGACCGTTTCCCCTGGGATCCCAGCCCAAGTGCCCACGCCAGAGAGATAAGAAACAAAAAAAGGGTGTCCCGTAGGACCAAGTTCGGCAGCATGGCTGCTCTCATCCCGAGCCTGTGAGCAATTGAGATGGGAATCAACACTCTCCCCCTTTTCCCTTTTTTTTTTATGCCGTGTGCTGTGCCTGAGAAGAAAGATGATGCTGATACGCTCCTCCGCAGGCGGCCCAGAGACCAAGACCAAACATGACGCAGCCGGTGGCTTCTTGTCGTTCCACTCGGAGTCTTGTCTATCTGTCAGGCATCACCACTAGCAGCATCATGGACTCGTCTTCTTCTTCTTCTTCTTCTGGTTCTTCTTCTCCATGCCGTCTGCTGTCTGCCGTGTCAGTAGTAGTAGTAGTAGCAGTAGTAGCAGCATCTGATGCCTGCCTGCCGTCTGGCAGCTCCGGCGGCTACCCAGCTCCCTGTGCTGTCTCTACCATGGCCGCGTCCCCTCATCTCCCCTCACTCCGCATCGCCGGCCTTCTTTTTTGCTGCTTGAATTCTCGTCTTCATCTTCATCTTCGTCCTCATCGTCGTCGTCGTCCTTCTTCTTCGCTTTTTCTCCATCTTTATTTTTTTCCTTTCTCTCTTTTTTTGCAGTTTCTTTTGAAAAATACAAACTTTCTGCCCGTTTTCAATACGAGATATCTGTATTTGCAATACGTATTTTTCAAACCTTAAGCCCCTGTTCTGCCGCTCTTCGCCGCCTTTTAGTCTCTTTTTTTTTTTATTTTTTTTTATTTTTGCAAAATTCCGCCTTTTTTTTTTGTTGCTTCAAATTTGAGAGACGAAGAAAAAGCTGATTGAGAGTCGAAGTTGATAGACGGGACGGAAGAGAGAAGACAGGCAGGCAGCGGTGATGGCTGGTGATGATAGAGAGAGTGCTGGGCCGGAAGAAGAACGAACGCCCTCATGGACCCTCGAGCTTCAAACAGAGAGAGCAAGCAGGCTACTCCGTACAAAGGGACTAAGTAGGTATACAGGTATACAGTACTTAAGTACATGATGTGCTAGGGGAAAAAGCAAAGAAGCAGCAGCAAAGAAAAGCAAAGAAGACGATACCTGATAGACTTGCTCACACTTACTTACAAAAAAAAAAAGAAAAAACAAAAAAACAAAAAGCAAAGGAAGAAGAAGAAGCCGACTGGCCGCTCTTCCAGGCTCTCGGAGTCAACCGAACTTAATACGCCCTCGTCGTCTTGCTCGTTCGACTGCGGAAAATAAGGTAGCGCATCCATAGAAGTACTTTAGTGTACACCTGCCTTCTTACTTACTTATATACATGCACCGGCACCACACCACCGCACCGCCGGCCTGGCTCCCCCAGACTTAATACCCGTCGTCTCTGCTTCTTCTCTTCGCTGGCCGCCTGCTCCTGTTGCTTCTTGACTTCTCACTCGCGTGCTATTGCTGTTCACCGTCACTGCTGGCTCTCTTGCATGGTCTATATATCTACTTCCTCCGGATCTGGCCCCCCAGCAAAGAGCTGCCGCCCAAGATGCGCTCCAGCATCGCCTGTTCCCGCTGCCGCCGGAGCAAGATCAAGTGTGTTAATGCTGGCATAGACACCACCTGCCGAGCTTGCGAGTCCTCCGGCAGAGAGTGCTCCTATCCAACTCCAGCGGCGGCCGGCTGTCACCCCTCTGCCGGCGTCAAGCGGGATATCACAGCCTCGTCCGGCATCGACGATAGCAACAACAGCCACAACCACAGCAGCAACAGCCATAACAACAACAACAACAACAACAACAACAACAACAACAACAACAACAACAACAACAACAACAACAACAA